TTATGGCAACAGAAGGCCTCATCCTTCTCCCTCAGAGCAGCTGGTGGGTTTGAACTGCCAACCCTGCAGTCAGCAGTCCAGTGACTATTTTACTGCACAATCAGGATTCCTTAGTGTACACTTGCTACTAGGAACTGTTGAGCTGGTTCCAACTCATAGCAACCCTGTCTAGGGTTTCCAAGGAGCGGGTGGCGGGTTTGAACCACTGACTTTGCAGTAGGCGAGTACTTATCCGACAGTGCCACACCAGGACTGTTAAGTGCTGTAGTGTCGGTTCTGACTCATAGCGACCTTGTATAGGGTTCCTGAGGCACAACTGGTGAGCTTGAACTGCTGACCTTACAGTCCAAACCAGGACTAGACTTGTGAAAAATGTTTTTGTTGTTATAACTAAGTACAGGTTTGCTTTTTTTACTAAACAATAAACTCCTGCTGAAACACCACACAAAATGTACGGCCACTTAGGGTCACAGCTTTCAGGCTAATCCTGGCCTGTCAACCACCTGCCCTGGGACCCCAACTACCCCACAAACCAGCTCCTCCCTTGTATACCTACTCCCTGCTCATTTCTTTAGTTATTTCAAGGAAGAGAATTTTTTTCTTGGGCTAAAGAATATTTCCCATCACAAGTGCTGTCCAACTTGTGAAGTTGCCAAGGAAAGGCAGTCTCTTCCCTTAAGTGAACATATTCAAGAAAAGGACAGGTTACCCACTTGGTGTGAACACTGAAGAGGGGACCTAAAAATCAGAAAATGCTTGAATTCTGTGACCTTCAAGGACTTGTTGTGGTTGTTAAGTGCCATTGAGTAGGTTCTGACCCATAGCAACCCTGTGTAGGGTTTCCGAGAAGCAGCTGGTGAGCTTGAACTTCCAACCTTGTGGTTCAAACAGACCTTGCTGCCCAGGGCATTTACATACAGCACACCTATGAGCCACTTTACCTGACGTTGCAAACACACTAATGACCACAAAGTGGTGACAGCTCATCACTGTGTTGTTTTTAAGTGCCATTGAGTCAGTTCCAACTCAGAGCCACCCTGTGTAGGGTTTCCGAGGATCAACTGATGGGTTTGAACTGCCGATGTTTTTAGTTTGAAGTCCAATGCTGATGCTACAGCGCCACACCAGGACTCCACTGGACTCACTGTAGAGCTTTCATTGTCTCAAAAATAAAGAAACCAAAACAGCTGCCATGGAGTGGATTCCAGCTTGTAGCATCTTCACTTCTAAGGAACATTCAGGTTGCACTCTCCCAACACAGTTTTGTTTGTTCTCCTGGCAATCCATGGTACTTTCAATTTTTCCCCCACATCAAAATTCAAATATATCTATTTTTCCCTAGTCTTCCTTGTTGTCTAGCATGAGGCACCTTAGTCCTCAAAGTGACATCTTTGCTGTTTTAACACTTTTGAAGTCTTTTACAGCAGATTTACCCAATGCAATGCATTACTTGATTTCTGGATTGCTGCTCCCATGAGCATTAATTATGGCTCCAAGTAAAATGAAAACCTTACTTCAACATCTTCTGCATTTATCGTGTTTATTGACCCAGTTGTGAGGATTTTTATATTCTTTACATTGAGTTGCAATCCACACTGAAGGCTGTATACTTTAGTCTCAAATCAGCAAGTGTTTTTAGTAAGCTAGATTGTGTTAGCTGCTATCACAGCTTCTTAGTAAACCTTCCTCCAATTCTGATGCTGCGTTCTTCTTCAGATAGCCCAGCTTCTTGGATTTGCTCAGCATAGATTGAATGAGCATAGTGAAAGGATACAACCCTGGCACATAACCTGTGTGATTCTAAACTCTTCAGTATGCCCTAGCGTGACACTGCAGGGTAAGCATTGGACCACGAACCACAAAGTCGGCAATTCAAACCCACCAGCTGCTCCTCGGGAACCATGTAGAAGGCTGCTATGAGTTGAGACTAACTTGATGTCACTTAGCAGCATCCCCTTGTTCTATATGAATGACTGCCTCGTGGTCTTTGTACAGGTTCCTCATGAGCCTGATTTAGTGTTCCAGAATACTCATTCTTTCAAATATTATATTACTGTTACGATCTAGAATTGAATGTCTTTGTATAGTCAACAAAACACAACTAAACATCTTTCTGGTATCCTGCTTTCTCTGCCAAGATCCATCTGACATCACATAACATCCATTGTTCCATGTCTTCTCAATCTGGTTTCCATTTCTGGCAATTCCCTGTTGTACTGCTTTTAAATTATCTTCAACCAAACTTTACCTTCAGGTGATATTAATGTTCCAAAGGACAAGCACAAACATGTAAGACATCTAGAGACACTTATTCGGCGACACTGAACGTACGTTTAGTCTCATCTCCTCAGGAACTCTCTCCATCATCTACTCCTTATTACCTTTCCAATTAGAGCTCAGAACCCCAGCTGGGTCCTTAAGCCTGTAGTTACCCTGTCCCTCAGTGTCCAAGGACTGGGCCAAAGCATTATTCAAATCCCACCGCTCCCCTCGCCTCTCCCCTTGACATGGGCACCCCCTGCTCTCTCTCCCAAGCCCCTACTGCCTTTGGTGTTACATTGTCCATCTATCTTGAATTTAAGTGCCATGAGAACAGGGCTATTGTCTTCACTGTTCTGCCCTCAGTCCTGGTGTGGCATTGTGAGAAAACGCACTGAACTGCAGGGTGGGCGGTTCAAATTCACCAGTTGCTCCTCAGAAACCCTGTACAGGGTCTCTATGAGTTGGAACAGACTGACAGGTACTTAACCACCCTCAGCACTACAACCATGCCTGGAACCGAGTGGGGAACCCATAACAAACGTCCATTTATCACATGAACGAAAGACCACCAGCACAGGGACAGGATTTATCAGCAGGGCTGTATGTAAGGAGTTTGAGCTCACCTACAGCTTTTCTCTACGGAGCTCTGGTAGCGTAGTGGTTACAAATTGGGCTGCCAACCTCAAGGTCAGCAGTTCGAAACCACCAGCTGTTCCACGGGAGAAAGATGAGGCTTTCTGCTCCCATAGATTTACAGCCTCGGAAACCCTGTACAGGGTCACTATGAGTTGGAACTGACTCCACGGCATATAACAACAGCTATTCTTCTCTACAATGTCTTCCTCAGAGAACCAGGGAGAAGCCTCACAAACCTAAGGGAAGGGTGAGCACAATGAAAGGTAGAAGGCACCAGTGTGGCATGAGCCACTTCATCTAAGAGTGTGTAGCCTTGTAGGCTGCCTGCATCTGAATCTCCCAGACAGGACTACAAAATCCAGGCTCTACTCAATGCCTATATATCACCCTGGAAGGGGGGCCAGGAGTCAGTAGGTGACTTTGATGTGGCCAGCCAGTCCCCATCCTCAGCATGCTAACCACTCCACTCTTTATCTGGCAGGTGGGGTGGCCAGGGCTTGCCTGAGGCCAGGTCAGAAGTGAGGACTCTCGTCCACCCAACCCTAACACCAGTCCAGGGCCCTCAGGCAGAGAGCCTCCACTCCCAACTCAGAAGCCTCCAGAGCCTCTGACCTGGGTTGTGCAGACAAGGTTGCCCTCTGAGGAGGACCTAGACCCCCATGTCCTACAGGGCCCCGAAGTTAGGCATAAGCAGGGTCCTGGGGAAAGGTGGAATCCATAGCAGAAGGCAAGAGGCAGCTTTATTCTTTCACGAAAATGTGCCCAGAGGTGGGGAGAGGAGCACCTGGCTGTGCCTCAGTCTCCAGCAGGAGTCTGAGCAGGGCCTAGGAGGAGCTAATGGGCGCCAGGAGCAAGATCAGGCTCTTGTTCGCTCAGCACCAGGAGCTGCCCACAGCAGCACGTGAGGACGCTGCTTCAGCTCCACCAGAACAGACTGGGGAAGGTCTGGCAGCAGAAGGCTCCTTGCAGGTAGATGAGGACTCCTGGCCCTGCCCGAGTCACCTGAGTGTTGAATTCACAGTCCCCTCCCCCCTGTAAACATGAGAATGGACCTATGTCTGCCCAAGCATCTCAGGACAAGATGAGTGTCCGTGATGTATGGCTGGACTTCAGGCGCCCCAGGAGCTGCCTAGCTTTCTCCTGCATGAAGAGCTGGTCCCTGGTGCCCCCGCAGGCCACCATCTTCCAGGCGCTGGTCATCTGGGAAGAAGCAAGAGGGTGATCACCCAGGCAAGAAAAACATGATTCCTGCAAATCCAGAACCCCCTCCCTCTGGAAGCCAGATGTCTGCTTATGCTTTCCCCACCCAAGTGGCCCTAGTATGTGACTCCTTCACTCTGGGCCTGCTACCCAGGACCATGTGACCCAAGGAGGCTGGGCCAAGAGACATGCTGATTGGCAGGCAGGTGAGGGCTTCATACGTGCGTGTGCATGAGAGCAGCCTAGCCCCTCCTGCCTCCAGCACACACATGAAGCAGATTCAGCAGATCTGAGGGAAACCAGGCCATCCTGGGGGGTCTCTCCAGGACAGCAATCGGGGAGGAGACTGACCAGGCAAACAGCTAAAGGGAGGCCAAGGGAGCAGTGTGTGCAAAGGCCTCGAGGGAGGAGGAGGGCACAGCAAGTCCCAAGGGCAATGCCACATTCCAGCAGGTACTCACAGGGGCAGGTGTCAGGAAGTGGCTCCGAGGCTTCTGGACTGTTCCACCCTTCTCGGGCTTGGCCTGCAGGAAGCCCTGGTTGAGCAGGTTGTTGTCCTCTTTCATTCCCGACAGGGTGAGGCTAGAGGAGCTGGATGGGACACCGGTTGGCTGAAATCAAAACCAAGTCAAAGAGTTACCACTGTGCCACAAGCTTGGGCTACTCACAGGGAGGAGAAAACACACGAGATCAAATCCCAGCACAGTAAGTCCAACCATGTTCAACACACTCCTGTGAACCTGGGTGGAAAACTGGTTGGCCAGCAGTTTGGCAAGACCTGGGGATACCTGGGCCCAGAGTCAGTGACATAGCCAGAGGACTAGAGTGAAGAGTAAAGCGTCCAGCTGATAAGAAGAGAGATCACAAGAACACCCACATTTTCAGATAATACCCACTTGACCTGGCTTCAATGGCTGGATGATCAGAACTGAACTACAAGAAAAAAGGAAAAAAA